GAAGCAGCCGCGTAATGCACCTCTGAAAGCCATGGTCGACATTCTTCACGTAAATGCCGTATAAAATGATTTTTCATGTATGAAGAAATGGAATGCAGCTAAGCACTAATTATGCTGATTATGTGCAGAGGAAATTAGTACTGTAAACGTCTGCTTCGGAGAGCTGGCTCAAGAGCAGCGAGGTTAGTACTACTAACTTCGACTACGAAGAAGTGACGCGAGCGCGACGGTGAACAACGATAGCTTAAAAAAAATCTGAATCATCGACGTACTGTACGACCTACACAGGGATGGACGCAACTGGAGTTACTGAGGTAAGATCGATGGATGCCACACCTCGTCCCCAGATGGGTGAGGCAACTTCCGTGATTGCCGTTTCTTCCGGGATTATTCAAGCACCTTTGTTTCAGTGATGTGGAATGTATATGCTAGCAAAACGAAGATCTGAGACAGAGCGATCATAGAAACCTGAGCCTTGGGTCCTTACAATGTTACAACCACCTCCTCACGTCCACAGGCTGTACTTGTAGACGCCTGTGAAAATCTGAGGCTGTCTTCACCTTTTTGACCAATTTCAGATGTAGAACCCGGAGAGGAGATTCCCATCAAGGGGGGGGGTCGTATTTATATTTTTGGAAAAAAAGGAGCCGCTCGGCGTTAAGTGTCTGAGAACAGGTATTCGGAGAATTCGAGAACATGGTAGGTAGCGTGGGATCTGGAAGGGGATCGTACCAGAGCAGAGAACTTGAAAGGGAACGTGTTTTCGCAAGTTTTCCTCTGCGACAGGAACGTACCCTGGTTCGAAGCATGGCCACCCTTGGTATAGTATGGTATTTTCAGAGACGCCAATCCCCTATTCCCTCCTGGTCACCCCCCCCCTTCCTCATACTACATATCTATCACTTCCCCAAATTTCTCAACTTCCTACCATTTTTCCGGATTTTCCTGGGAGTTTGGTTTTCCCTCGAAACTTTGCTGTCGAGCGGTGCGGTATATAATGAAAAAGAACAACTGTGAATAAAATTTTTTTCTCAAAGCCACATTTTTCTAAGGCAAATAGACCCTCTCCTAACAACGACCAATTACGAACCCCTTATAGAGTCCACGGGACAAGAAAAATCAACTATCAAAGAGCTTTTATCACACTAAATACGACCCCCTCCCCGAGAAACTGAGCATGCCAGCCACCTGGGGGATTTCCCCACGTACGACGTATCTGTGTGGTAATACCATATATGTGAAAGTCCTTCAAAGCACACGCTGCCACCTTTCCAGTGTGGCCCACCCCTCGGTGCTCAACGTAAGGTAAACGGCAAAATCGCACTTGAGCATCCGGCGCGCGGTCCCGGCACGAATACCCTGAAGATGCTGCACGCGCTCATACGGTAGCACAGCCATGAAGTATGAAAGCGCTCGTATTTCGCACAATCGAAGATCAGGCGCGCATCTGACGAAGTTTAAAGGAAGCAAAATAGATGTTTCAATTTGAAACGCTTTGAATGACTTGCACAGTGCTGGCTGGCTATTATAATGTACACTTAGTTAACAAAATCACCCATTCAAGAGCGAAGTGAACCCTTTTGATCTCCAGTGTGTGTAATCACTTTTCAGATGTCAGTCACTGTAAGGAATGTAGAAAGTCTCGCCATACTCAACCAACTTGATGGGGTCAAATCCGAAAGCTGGCCAAAATGCTTCACCAGAACGGCTCCACTGAGTCAACCGGGAATTATCTGAACCAACCCGTTGAAAGTTCAAGGCATAAATCAAAGCGTACACCTCCTGCCACCGTTTGTTAGAAGCGGTGCATATAAAGGTGCCCTATGCTTTGCATTGCTGGAGGCGCACTGTATATATCACTCACAAAATGCCACATTCTAATGTGGCATGTAACTGCAGGACCCGCAAAATGAACGTGCCAAATTGCTTGAATTGCTACGACATTGATGAAGTGTACAGGAGCTGCTTAAACTGCTCTCTATGTACAGATCTTGAAGCCGTTTCGAGTAAAGAAATCTTAAGGTTCAGAAAGCGGGTAGACATCAGAGGACAATGTTCCCAAGTTGATGGGCGAAGGGCCTAAACATGATGAGAAGGCGTTTGTTCCTCCTTACAGGACTTTACCTATAATTCAACGGAAATTTTGTGGGAAACGCCACATCATCAACATTATTATACAAGATTCGATGCTTTTGTGAGTATAGTGTGGTGATATTCCCATGTTGAGTTCATAGTAGTCAACTTAAGATGTTACTCGCTGGTGACGATAGTTGACCATGATGCCCTAGTGCCGAAACCGCGCCGCGACCGCCGCTCACAAAGGCCGGAGTGCGATTTTGCCGTTTACCGTCGCCCCTCGGTGCTCTGGTTTACGAGACGTTGATAAAACGTGTTTATTCCGCATGCATCATCGTATTTTACAGTAAAAATCTCAATATAAAATCAAACTGTTCAATTACTTCTTCTTGAGGGCAGGCATGATTGGAATGACCCTCTTGTTGGTGTGTTGGCCAGTTTTCGGAGCTTCCACGGAGAGTTGTCCGTTGTTGTCGATCTGTGTGTGTACGGCATCCAGATCACAATCTTCAGGAAGAGCCCATCTGTGGACGAAATTCCTGAAAGGAAATGATCGGGCTAGGGTGGGGAGAGCACATCATATGTATATAGGTATTACTTTTTGATGTAGCCATGTTCGGTCTTCACTTCTTGGTGGCCTTCAATGGTGAGATCACGTCCTTCCAATTGCACCTTCAGCTCCTCTGGTCTGAAAGTGCGACACATCCAATGCGACAGCGAATTTCTTGTCATCATTGACGATCTGGAAGTTTCGATGCTTCC